AATAAAATAGAAATGTTTACATTTACATTTACATCGTGTTAGCTGAGTTTATTCTGTTTTGGAGTTCAGACCAAGGAAACATGAACAAAGGCAAATCCAATGAAGACAAAGTGAGTGCCATCCTGAGCACGACTTCTGATATCATCTGATATCATTGGAGCTCCTCCCCTGCAGAAGGACAGATATTTTTCTTCTGGAAGTTTTCATCGTGGCTTCGATGAGGACCTCCACCGGTCAGATCTCCACACACACACTATGCTCGAGGAAAAAGGAAACAGGAAGTGATTCAGGCGCCTGATGGTGGCCTCAAACCTGAGGCGGTTAGTTTCAGCCACAAACACGTTTGCTTTCTCAAACGTTTCGGCGTTCTGGTCCCAGTCCACCTTGTTGAGCTCCAGTTCACCATTTTAGTTTGATCTTAGCTGAAGTTTAAAGACACAACTCAGGCCGTGTGTTCAGCTCCCTGCCCTCCAGCAGGCTCACGCTGCTGAAGGCGGAGCTTCCAGAGTGAGCCGTGAAGGCTGGTGTTGGTGGGTTTGCGGCGTCCTCAGGACGTCTGCCGGCGTGGTGTCAGCTCCTCCTGATCCGATCATTACGGCGAAAAGCTGAGAGATGTCCACAGGGGGCTTCCGTGTGGGGACAGTCTTCACATGATGTCCTCTGTTGATACTGAAGACTCAAGCTGCAGCAGGTCAAAGGTCAAAGATACCAGGCAGGCTCACAGTGACAGTGATCCTTGTACGGAGTATTTACCTGAGCGGAAGCAGAGCTACGAGGACATGAACCGACCTGAGCCGTATGATGGTGCAGGTGTGAAGCAGCTTGTTCAGCAGGTGGATGAGCAGCGGTTACACTGAAGGTCCAGGTGAGAGCGCCACCCTGAGGCGCAGTCTGACAGCTTGTGCCGCACGCTCCCTGCTTTTCACCCTGAACACCACGTTTAGCATCCCAGTCTTTCTCCAAGGAACGCCTCAGTGTCGTTTCGGGAGCTGAGACAAATGAGAGGACCACGGCTACAAATGTTCTGGCACAGGGCAAGGGTCAGAGGTCGCTGTTTCCATTACAGTCACCTGTCCTCTGAATAATCAGCCAATCACCTGCTGCTGCAGTCTGAGGCTGTTCCAGCTGTTAGAAATAAGTTTAACACGGGAGACTCACTGCTGCCTCCGCTGGACGTCAGAGGAAGTGCAGCGCTCTGTGCTTCAGGTGTGATAAAAACAAACACCTGAATAACAGTGACACAACGCTGGGCTCATGGTGTGTTCAGGTGCTGCAGGGAAGAAGCAAAACAACTGTTTCCTCTGCAGGTTTCACACACGCGGACTCACACACACTGTGATGTCACAGTCTCATTTTTATTTTTTAACTTCTGAATCTTTGAACAAACGTTCACAGACGTCTGAAACACGAGCAGCACGCAGAGTCGAAGTAGATCTGCACACGCTCACCTGTTTGCGTGTCCGGAGACGACCGTGGAGTCTCTCACACCAATTGCATTTCAGCGTTCTGAAGGAGACTCTGACGCTGTGACGCAGGTTTGGTGGTGTGGTCACTGATGGGTCAGGTCAAAGGTCACAGTTTGAATTTGACCTGGCGATGCCTGGTGTAGGAAAGCAGCTGTCTGAACACATCTGGCGAGTCATCTGAAACGTTCCCACGACATGAAAAGAGCCCGTCACGGTTACCCGTCTGCAGCCGTGACTCATCTCGCCGTCAGAGAAAGAGGAAATGTGTTAAAATGAAAGTGTCTTGATTCGAGGAACTCAGAGGTCATCAGCCACAGGCGCACTCTACAGGGGGGAGGAGCCTCCTCTGCATACCTGTCCACTCAGACGATCTCACAGCTTTAATTAGCGTTGAGCAGCAAGAGCTCAGGTGGAAGAACGGGTGGTGTTCCCATCAGGTGGTGAGTGGATCGATCCCAGCTCGTCCAACAGCGTCTACGAGTGCGTGGCTGATGAGACGACTACCTGTTACCTCACGCTCCTGACGCAACCTCAACCGTCAGGCTCTACCTTTAAGAGGGAATACGTCACAGGAAGCAAACTTTCCTGAGCGCTGTGTTGCCAATGATGCTGTGTGTGTCTGTTCAGGTGTGACGAGTGTGACAGAGGTCAAAGGTTAAAAATCTTTATTAGCAAAAAGCTTTGACGCGTTTCTGCTCTCAGCCTCTGAGCGCGTCTGCAGCGACCGCAGCAGAAATCGTCTTAAAGTGAACTACAGCAAATCCAGTTACAGCAGGAACGTCATTGACGCCGCCACTTCCTCTTTCACTTCCTCCTCCTAATGAAAGATGACGCTTCGCGGCGAGCACACAGGAAGTCAGGAAGAAGTAAGAGACCGTAAAGTCGAACTGTTCTTAACGTCACCCACCTGCTGCATGCACAGGTGATCTAAGTGATGTCACAAAGGTGTCACAGAGGCCCCACCCACCTGCATTAAAACTGTTTGTGAGGGGCAGCCAATCAGAATAAAGTTTTCTAACAGCCAGCTCGCTCGCTCTCAGATATTCTTATAATGTGATCTGATTGGCTCGTGATGAAGCCGGAGGATTTAATTGGCTGCTGAGAAATGAGCATGATGTGTATGTATGAATCCTCCCTTGCAGAGGGAGGAGCTAAAGCAGCCTGATTCAGACAGAGCTCAGACACAGAAGCATTATTCTGAGCTGAGACTTATGCTCAGCCACTCTCATAGGTGCAGCAGTAACCAGCAGAACAGGTCGACTTTACAGCAAACACAAACAGAGCAAACGCACAGGTAACATGACATCATCGACCTGCAGCGCCGCCACACACACAGGAAGTCATTTGGTATTTTCAAAGTAAAGTAAAAAAAAAAAAATCATCAAACACATACAAATTCCAGGAGGAATAATTTAACTCATATCAGCTCAGTCTTCATTTCATAACTCCAGTGTTACATCTTCATCTCTACCATCATCATCATCGTTAATGTAGTGCTTTGAAACAGCAGGTCAAAGGTCAGTCATTAAATATCATCAGCTGTGTGTGAGACACACCTTCAGTCATTGTGCCTCCTCTTCCTCTCCGAAGTGTCTGTGAGCTCAGCCAGAGGGAAAAACACTAAAATCATTCACGTGACCTCTGAGACAAACAGACAATCACCAATTAAGCAAACTAGCGTGAATCCGGGAATGAGGTGTGTGTGAGTTTCTGTGTGTGTGTGTGTGTTCCATCTATAATTCACACAAACACCAAACAGTGGCTTTTACAGCTCAGAGGAAACACGTAAATGATTTTACTGTCAGCCACAGACTCCAAACCTCAGTGTGTGTCTGTGTGTGTGTCTGTGTGTGTGAGTGTTTGAATTAAACCCAGCTGAGCAGGCAGAGAAGCCACAGAAACCCCCCCGAAGACAAAGCCTGTGTCTCTATCATTATATCTATCTGTGTGTGTGTGTGTGTGTGTCTAGTGTTGGCTTGGGTTGAGCAACATTTCCAGTAAAGTGTCAGAGCGTTGCATGCTGGGATAGAATCTAAAGATGGATGGAGCAGGGCTGTAATTTAAAAGGGAGGAGGCTCTCCGCCTGTCCTGTTTATCCCCCCACCCCCCTTCCTGTGTCTTTTCCAGTGTATGGCGTGATGTTGGAGGCGGGGAATGTGGCGTCCCGTACATTCAGGCGGCGGTCCTGCAGAGTCCAGCAGTTAGACAGGGCCGCTCGTAGTGTTGTGTTTTGGTGGCTGCAGGGTGGAGGTGATGGAGCAGCGTCTTCTCTGTGTGTTAGAGACGGAGCGTCAGCTTGGCGTCACTATAGATTCCAAAAAAGATGTTTTCAGGAAACGTCCCGCTCCGGTAAGCCCCGCCCCCCTGTGGGGAGCGCTGGTAGTGTCATGGCATCAGCAAAAACTCGGCTCCATCCAGTCCTGCATCCACCGCAGAGAGATGATCATGTGACTGCCTCACCTGTCCACTTATTTACTAACAGGAAGTGAAAGGGTGGCGTTGCTTCAGTCTCACTTCCTGTCTCTGAGGCTGGATGCAGGGCGTGGTGCTCCGGTATTTAGACGCAGCCGTACTCGTACCACACCGTCTGCGGGTCGTTGTTGGGGTCAGGTGACGCCGGCGTACTCTTTGGGCGTTCCACAGAGCCACACCTCCCACTCTCGCCATCCTTCTTCGTGTGGGTGGAGTCGCCCAACCGCCCCTCCCTCGGGACCTCTGCGTACTCGGGGGTGTCGTCAGGCTGCGCGGCAGGCGTCGCTCTCACTGGGGTTACCATGGCAATTTCTCCACGGTGAGGGCCGTTTCGGGAGGTGGCGCTCCACCCTCGGTCCCGCTCTCGCTCCGCGTAGCGCTCCGCCTGCAGGTTCAGGGAGGCGGAGTGGTGGATGGGCGGGTTCAGGAAGCTGCCATCTGCGTGCTGGTTGGACAGAGCGGTAAAACGAGCCGACAGCGGCCGCTCTCTCCCAGTGGTCCCACCTCCTTGACGGCGCATCACGGCGTCGGCCTGGCCGGGGGAGACGTCGTGTCCTCTGAAGCTGTCCGGCCCGTTGGAGCGCAGCAGGTCGGCCGAGGCCAGGCTGAAGGTCCTGCTCAGTGATTGGCTGCTTCTCTGAGCCGAGGCCGGCGACTGGCCCACGGGCTGACGGGGCGAGGGCTTCACACTCTGTCCCGGCCTCTGATTGGACGACTGCACGGTGGGCGTGACGTAGTTGGTGGGCGTCGCCTGATCGCTGCAGGCAACAGCTGAGGGGGCGGGGCTTCTAGCAAAATAGTCCGTCACCAGGTCCTCTCTGCTTCCTGTGGACACCTGAAACCCAGAGAAGCAGTCAGGGCGGGGCTTACAAAGGGCAAAGGTCAAACACACCTGAGCTGTGACTGAGAAGCCGGGAAAAACAACGGGTCGCTTTTATAAACAATGACCTCTGAAGCGGTTGATAACGGCGTGATCAGAGCGCGTGCAGCAAACCGAAACACGGCGAATATAAATGCTTCAGTTAGAAACCGCCGCCGTGCCTGCCTCCACCCATCAGCTGCACCTGAACATATCAACCACACCGTCAGTGTTTTTCACGCACCGTCCTGCACGAAACACCGAGCTTCAACGAGAAACATCTGACCTGCTGAAGCAGCAGAGCTTCCTGTTTTACTGCCGCTCTGCTCTCGGACGCTCGAGGCGCCGACTCACTAAATCACCGAGGGCAGCAAATATGTGAGTGCAGCGCTCACAGCAGCAGCAGGGGATCTTCAGGCTATTTATCAGACGTTATCATCATCGAGCTGCACACCACACAATCGTGACATCGCTGCTCCGAACACTTTGATCTGCTAGAAACAGGAAGTGTGCTGACACAGCTGTGACGTCACGAGTTCATCTCTCAGGCTAAAGCTTCTCACAGTGTTACTCAGATTCACTGAATCATCACGTTTCAGTCTCACCTTTTGCTGCCTCTAATAAAAGTATGTGTGTTATCTGGTTGCTAGGTTACTCTATCCTCACTGAAGGTCATATTGAAACTCAGGCTCAACAGGAAGTAACGCAGGACGTCCTCGCTCTGACTCCTCAGGCTGGTCTAAACTGACGTGCACTAAAACACAAAGCTCCTGGTGTGAGACTGAATGTCACGTCTGCTCTGTGGGCAGGTCTGAGGTCAGGGGTTCAAAGGTCAGAACGTCTTCAGCGTGAGTCTCCCCGACCGAAAGCTCGCCTTGTGTGATCAGCGGCGACGGCGGCGTGTGTGCAGAAATATGTGCCTCATGTCTCACCACAGGAGGAGACTGCAGGTTGCTCTCCTGCAGGAACTCTTCCAGCGTCACCATCTCACTCCCAGGAGAAGCAGGGCGGGTCTTGCTTCTGACCCCGCCTCCACGCTGTGGCTGGGCCCTCTGGGGTGCGTGGTCATATGGAAGGGTGGAGCTTCGCGACAGGGTCAGCTGTGATTGGCTGAGACCTGTGACGTCGTCACTGGAGAGGCTGGCAGAGCGGCCCTGGCGTTCTGAGAAATCTGAAAAGAAAGTACAGCTGAGTGCGGCGAAAGTGGGAAAGGTGACATTTGTGCCTGTAAATTAGCCCCGCCTCCACAGATCACCTAGTCCCACCTCCAAAGTTTAGCTAGCACAGATTTGACCTGAAGTTCTTTAATTTCATTTCTCAGAGACTCTGTTGCAACACACCTGAATACCCTGAGTCCTTCTTTAGTAAGACGAAGCTGAGGCAGCGAGCTCTAACTCTGTTTGAGTAAACGTTTGGAAAACTGCACTTCTACAGCAGTTTTATTGCACCATGTTCATTCACTCATGAGCTGCTGTAACATGAATCAAATGGCTGAATTCAGCACGCAGTCAGGTTCGTCAGTCTTGCTGACGACCTACTAAACGTGACCATGTGTGTTGCAGCAGAGACACGCGGCCCTCGAGGAGATCGAGACTCCTGCTCTGTGCAGATTTAACCAGGTGTGTGTCTGTACCTCTGCAGCTCACAGGTGAGTTGGAGCTGGACGTGTTGTGGCTGAAGTCGGCCGACCCCGGGCGACCTCTGAACGCCGGGTCCGAGGCGTTGTGGCGCGAGTCTTCGTCCAGTAACGGGCCTGTAAATGTGACCACAGCGTCACACGTGCAGTGTTTCAGACTTCTACAGCTGCTCTGAGTAAAACAAAAAGCCGGCCTACCTCTGGGCCTGCGCACGGCGATCTGGCCCAGCCTGGAGGCGGAGCTGCCGGTGAAGCCCAGCGAAGACGATGGATGGCTCGGAGTGGAGCTCAGATGGATTTTATGGGTCTGACCTGGAATTAAAACAGACAATCAGGAAGTTCTTGTATGTGCAGTTCCTCAAACCCCAGGAATCATTTTTGTTACAGCGTCGACTCGGCTCGACGTCTGAGCTCAGCTGCACCAGCAAGGCTCAGTTTCACTGTTTTAATGGGCGCTTTTACTCTTTTAGTCAGGACCCACAGACTGCCACAGAGTGGGCGGAGCTCCCGCTCTGTGGGGCAGGAACACCTCAGAGCCCGAGCTGGAAGCCTTCCTCAGGAAGCTGACCTGCAGCCTGTGAAAGCACTGTGAGGGCTACGGTACCTGGTCCCTGTGCATCTTCTCCGTTCATGCTTTCGCTGCTTCCTCCTGGCGTGCTGCTGTGATAAACGCCCCGGCTCCTGTCCGCCAAACCTGTGGACCAATTAGAATGCAGTGAGGAGGGATTCACAGCGGCAGGGTTAATATCACTGGAAGCACAGCGGCATGAGTGGGCGGGCCGTGAGCGTGAGGTCAGCGTCACAAAGAGCAAAGCAGGACACGGCGGCACGCACACACTCACTATGTGACCTGATGACATCACAGCGTGATCAGAGAGGGCAGCTCCTGACCTGCATTCGAGGGACAGGACGCAGCTGAAGCAGTGAGAGTGCAAACACACCTGCTGCGTCCCACCTGACAGCGGACACAGTTCGTCAAAACTAAGGACACTGTGCTGTGATCTGACCAATCAGAAGCTGGGGGAGGGCCATTAGCGATAACTGTGACATCTGTGAAGTTTCCATTAAAGCACATCTGCAGGTTCAGGAACATTGCTGTCCAGACAGGAAACAACAAACCTACTTCCTGTCTGTGTACTTCCTGTCTGATGATGACTTTAAAGACGCTGGTTTTTACTTTCATGATAAAACTAATCAAACGATGAAACATGACAGCTGCAGCGAGCTGTGCTTGTCTGAGACATGTGACCCTGAGAGCACAGGTGAGCGTACAGGTGAGCGCACAGGTGCAGCAGTTGTGATTCTGTGAGTGTTTCATTGGGCGAAGCCTGCAGGTCTGCGTTAAAGCGGCGTCTGAAGCTTTCTGCTGCAGGAAGTGATGAGAGCGAGCGCCATCGCTACAAATCCACTTAGGACTGAAAACCTTCATGACTTTAAAGACTCACAGCTCAGAACAGACTGCAAGCTACACACAAACGCACACACACTCACACAGACACACGCGCACACACACAGACACACGCGCACACACACACTACTTACTAATAACACTGTCCAGAAACACGGGGCTGCTCGAGGTTGTCTTTAATGTTTTAGTGTCAGAGGTGTGTGTGTGTGTGTGTGTGTGTGTGCGCGCGCGTGTGTCACACTGATGACTGTGATGATGAGGATGGTGTCAGTGGGCACAAAGGATGAGGATGATGATGAGGATGTTAGAAATCTCCGTTGGCTAGGATTGGCTGGCTAGCGATGAGGTCGGCTGTGAGGTCGGCGGAGGACCAAAATCGCAGTCGTCTGGTGAGAGAGAGGGAGGGGCGGCGGGTGATGGGGGAGGATGAGGTCGGCGACAGGGAGGAGGAGGAAGAGGGGATGATCTTGTCTTGACTTTTACTGCGGAGAAATTTGAAGCGTTTTGGAGGAGGAGCTGAGGAGACGGGAGGAAAAGGAAAGGTGAGTAAACGAAAGAAAACACCGACGTGAGAACTTGTTATGGATGAACAGCAGAGATCGTGCAGAGAACCCAGAACCCACCAATCAGAGAGCTCGTCAGAGCTGAGCTCGGCTCACACTCAGGCTAACCTGAAGCTCTGCGCCGCCGCCGCTGCGCAACATTCTCAGTAACGACTCAGGCCTAACGCCTGTAATTACACTGTAATTACCTACACATACTCAAAGGTCATGAGGCTGTACAGCAAACAGAAAAGTAATTGTACTGAAAGTACATTAAAGTACTGCAGTACTGGCAGTAGCTGCCCGAAATCTGGAGTGGATCAACCTTTAACCTTTAACCTTTAGCATCATGCACATCAAAGCAAGTGCGGATATAAATATAATCCACTCCATAATAATCCATAACACACGTCACAGCGTACGCAGATGTGGAAATACTCGACTAAATACACTGAAAGTATCTGTATGTAAATATAACAGATTACACTGAAACCTTTAGTTACAAGGGAACTACGCTCTCACAGGCTGCATTAAAGTGTTCCCAGCTTCAGTGACCTTTAAAAACACCTGACACTGATGAAGGAGAGCAGGGAGGTGAGGAAGACTAGGATGTAACGTCCTGTGTTAAACAGGCTTTTAGCCGAGCTCAGCCCGAGTTCAGAGAGAACCCACAGATGTTAGGAGCATGCACCACAGAGTGAGGAAGAGGACGACGCAGGAGCCGCTGTCTGTGACGACACATTTTGCACTTGTTGGGTCACAAACGCTTCAGTGCCGACCTTCTTACTGTTTATAAATGTGGGCGGAGCCTAAACGATGTCAGTATGTGACGGTTAAAAAACCCGACGCACCCCTCTGTGTCAGTGTGAGGAAGTGTAAGTGCACGTTCAACCCCGGACAAGTCCCGATGTAAGACGTTTCCACAGCACGTCTCTGTTCCTGTGGACAAGGAGTCCACGCCGTCCTGCAGCCATCACACACAAAGGTTTGTTTTCACTTCCATCCAACAGTTTGCTTCACAGAAAACATCTTCTCAAACACATGATCTGTCCTGTTTTGTCCAGATGTGCTGAATAGCTGGAGGACACTGTGGTGCTGCTCATCGTGGACACAGACGTGGACACACGTTCCTGCTCTCAGCGACGGTCCGTGAGTGATTTTAACCCTTTATGACCCACCACAGAACCAAGTCCTCCAGAGCTTATCTTTATATCTTTACATGCTGTGGAGCCATTTGTGGGAGCATTTCAAGCTGCTATACATCAATACAACCATTACAGCCCAAATTTTAATAATATGTTTGCATTAAGTGCACAGTAATTACATCAATTGCAAAAAAGTGTAATAAACTACAAAAAAAATTGAAAATCTTTCTTTTTTTTTAACATATATTTGTAGTTAAGAGAAATTTAAGAGGCTTATCACTCAAAACTGTAAATACAAAAAAAGTTGCACAGAATAGTTTCCAACCACAGGAAATTTATTTTGAGTGTCTTCATAGTTTTATTTTATTTTTGAGATACACCAATTTTTATAAACTGCAGGAAAAACGAAGATAAATATTATAATGCAGATTTGCTAAAAAAACAGCATCTGTATCAAAATAAACTATTTCCAGCAGTGCAGTTTGAGTTCTAAGCATCCCAGAAATAATAAAGAAAAGCATGAAGTCAAACATGACTTTTAAAAACTCCAGTACAGGCTTATAAGGTGAAGATAAAGATAAAAACCTACATTTTCCACGAAAATTACGTCACTTACGGTTTCGGGCAGGTAATGGCGGACATGCGATCGTTCGCGCTGACGTCTATTCCAACATAGGAAGTGTTGATCAGCTGATCGGATCGGCAAAGCGTGTTTCTGGAATATTATGTTTTTGCTGCTGCAAGTGGTTTTTATGCAATTTTTGCAAAGCTATATGTGGAAGGAAACCGTGACCGAGGACAAGCTGATGGCATAACAAGTAAGTACAACTCCTTCGGTTTCATATGCAAAAAAATTTATTGCGCTAGCTTACGTGGTTCGGGTTCTACAGGGATTTAAAAATAGTTACACAAAACGGAGTGTGCCGGCTCCGACCGGTCTTAAAGGGTTGAAGGCGTGCCAGCATTCCCGACGGTCCCAAACTAAGAATGTGACATCTGGAACATCATGCCGGCCAAAAAGCACAAAGACAGTTTTTGTTGTTCTTTCCTGTTTCACTTTGTTCTCATTTAGGCTCCAAAGAAACAAACAGAGGTTTCTGTGAGAGGGCTGCTCGCTCCACGTGTCCTCCACAGGTGAGGAGTAACACGCCAACAACACGCCTGCAGAAAACTCCTGTTCAGACTAAAAGTGCACAAGCAGCTGTGCAGTCGAGGACCTGTCACTGCATGTCTGAATTTAAATGAGCTGCGTCTGTGGAGCGATGACTGACAGGTAACGAGTCAAAGAACGGATCGAATCTGATAAAAACCCTGAAAATCTGCAGTAAAAATATCAGACGTGTGCACGGCTGGATCAGCTGCTCAGGAAGGTTCCAGATGTGAACTTACTGTCAGTCATGTGAAAGCCAACGGCGCCCTCTACAGGACAGAGAGAGCAGCTCCTCCACATGTGCTCTGAGCCTCTGATCAGAAGTCCCCAAACTTCACGGTGAGCGAGTCCCCGAGAGAAAACGAAACACTCTGCAGGCATGTTTAACGAGTTTCTGTGTGTGTGTGTGTGTGTGTGTGTGTGTGTGTGTGTGTGTGTGTGTGTGTGCCTCGGTTTGTGGGGGTGACAGCTGGACTCTGGGGGCCCGGGCTGTTATGGCCGCCGTCCTGCGAGTCACTGAGGGTCCTCTGGGGTGGAGGGGGCGGGGTCTCGGGGGACAGGAGGGGGGGTGTGGCTGGTAGGGGGATGTCCGGGGCGCTCTTAGTCCGCTCCCTCTCGGCCCCCCTCTCCCGGCTGCTCTCCTTTCGGGGTTTGATGAGTTTGACTAAAGCTTTGGCTCCGGCCCACTGACTCCTCCTGCAACACACGGCAGCACGCTTAATCGATAATCAAGACCTGCAACACAGTGAGCACTCACACTTTTAAACACAATCAGGGCTCTGATTGCACGATAAAGCAGGAAACTGCGTCACTCTTTCAATTTGTATAGCGCCAAATCAAAGCGCTTTAACCGACTAGATCTGGAAAAATCAAACCTCCACGAGCAGGTTGGGCTCTTTCATGTTTCCGGCCTCTGCGCTGAAACCTGCAGCCGCTCACCTGTTTGTCACAGGTGTGACAAACAACCTGGCAGCACGCGTGAGCGCTGAGTAGGATTCTGGGATTTGGTCTGTAGATGCGTATGGATACCCAACAGCTGATGCTGTGAAGTGTGGACTCTTACTTTTTAGGCGTGGGGTCGTAGAACTTGTACTGGTCCATGATCTTCTCCTCCAGTTTCTCCTTCTGACGACGGAGAGCGTTCAGCTTATCACTGACGAGACAGACAGACATCGGTCACAGTCGGCCGTTTGTGATCCCTGACGACACCACGGTGCCGGGTGGAGTTTAGATCAGCAGTGTCAAACTCACTTTATGTCTGGCGGCCCACACACCAGTGCAACTTCCTGTCAGACGTTACAGATTCAACTGTTTTTCTGTCAGCTCGACTCGACTGTCAGAACAAAGATGACAGAAAAGTTCTGCTCGCTCAGACTCTCCACTTTATTTCACTGGACTCACAGAAAAACTGATATTTCTCTTTAATTGTCTGCTGTGGCAGCTGTTTGGGTTGGTTGCTGAAATTGTTTTGAGCTTTTCACTGAGACTGGCGTTTCCGTGGAAACCACACGCGTCTACATTTAAATAAGAGATGTGACAGTACGTCCGTTAAACCCCGGTACGGGGCCTCAGGTTAGTGACTGTGTGTGAATGGCCATGAGGAGGTTTGAGTAGGAAAGTCCAAAACGTCTGCGTGTGCTTGTCTGTGATGAGCAGCAGAAGTATAATAATTATAAACAGCTTCACGTTCAGGCCTGTGAGACTCAGACACTGAGCCGTGACTCTGAGCTGCACGCACACATTTCTGCATCTGACATTCAAACACACGTTTATCTAATATTCATCACTGAACTATAAGTTTTCTTTTAAGGAGCTGATTTTTATTCAGTGTTTTCATAAAAGTCTTATTTTACGGATTTTTTGCTACCAGCGAGAACACGTGAGGTTTAAGGACAATCCTCATAATTTCTGTCCTCAGATTTTCACTCAAACACAGACAAACGCTCATTTTACGTTTTCACGCTTTCTTCGCGGCCCCCCGACATGCTTGTATTTAAATCCAGCTCCCGTCTCTCTGTGTACCTGGCCTGTACCACTACACTCGCCTGCCCCCTTCCTTCTTTCACATAATGGTATGATCCCAGTCTGTCTTTGCATGTGATTGGCCGCATGATGTGCCCGTCAAAATAATGTCCCACCCCTCCCTGCGAGGATTCTCAGCAGGGCTGACGATTCAACTCCCCCACACTGACGGCCATCATTAACTGACATTATCTCACCGCCAGATGTGGCCCACGGGCCGTACGTTTGACACCCCTGATTTAGATGGTCCAACCTGCTGATGAGATGGCAGGTGTGTGCCTGCAGGTGTGTGCAGCAGCCACGTAAAAGCTAAACACAGATGTGAGGACTGCACCGACTGACAGCTGAGGATAAACCGCGTTCGTCAGCGATCAGCTCGTCCTGCAGGACGTCGCCTGTCTGAACCTCGCGGCGGCTGACGAGCACTCACATGTAGAGCTTCTGCTCCTGGTGGTACAGCTCCTTGCTCTCCATGCTCCTCTCCAGCAGCGCGTGGTTCTGCTGACTCAGCAGGTTGATCTGACTCAGCAGGTGGTGGTTCTCCTCCTCCAGGTTCCCTTTGAGGCGACTCAGGAGCTGGGCGCACACACAGAGGAGGCGGTGACCACGCTGCAGCCCGTCAATCAGACGTTTCAGAAAAACGTGCGCTTACCTCACAGTGGTTGTCTAGTTTAGTCATGGTGAGATCCAGCGTCTGGTGCTGCTCCATCAGCGAATCGTATTGCGCCATACACTGACTCACTTCCAGCTGGGAGGAGCTTAAAGAGCTCTTGAGTTCATTCAGTCGCTGCTGGAGCCCCTTGCTCTGCTCCGCCTGCTGTGATTGGCTCTCGGAGAGTCTGAAGATGGAAGCAGAAGGTGAACAGTTTAAAGTCTGTGCTCACTGGCTGCTGTCAAGGGTTTTCATTGGCTGTTACTGTGCTCTGATGAGCAGCATCAGTTGGTAGCTCGGCCCTCTCATCCAAACATGGTCACTTCTGGAACCAACATGGAGGAGAAAACGCTAACACAGAGGCTTCAAAACATTAGAACCTAATGCGTGATGTCATGATTGTCCATCTTTGCTATACAGTCTGTGTGTGAAAACACATCACCTGTCCACATCTGTTTTCAGCTGGAGGTTTTCCTGCTGCAGGAGGCGGTTCTTCTGGATCTCCAGGTTTAGCTCCTCCTTCTCTTTCAGGCCACGCCCCTCGTGCTCCTCCCATTTCTCCTTTTGCTGTAGCAGTGCACAGTACCTGCAGACGTGCAGAGCAGAATGATTAGCCACGTCACATCACACACTTTAAATGAATTAAATTTTTTATCACTACAATCTTTCTAATCGACTCTCTGAACCACCAGCTACCGCTTCGCCACCCCATACTGCCAGTCACATTATGTCGTTCATTACAACAAGGAGAAACCTCGGCATGAAAAGTGGATGGTGGAACCTCAGGAATACGACAGCTTAATATCACCGTAACACACCAGAATGAGTCGTTTTCCTGTAAACAAAGTCAATTTTACTGTGTGTATCAGCTGACCTATAACATGTTTACATCACATCATGTCGATCTTCTACCCTCAGCTGGTGAATGAGAAGTTTGAAAAGGACATGATGAGAGAGGATTCACTGAAACTAAACTCTAATGAAATAGGAACGAGGCAGGCAACATGCAAGTGCTACAAACAACAACCTGCAGGATACAGCCGAGGTCACTTCAACCCAACGATTAGACCTCCTGCTCTTTATCGCCATTGTGCTGCGAACAACATTAAAACTCGCACATCATCAATGCAGCTGCAGTTTCAGAGTAAAACTATATTTAACTGTGAAAAGAGGAAGTCTCAGTGTGTCAGAGTTTGGCTGTCTCGAAGTGTCTCTCTGTGTAGCTTTTAAATGAAATGAACATGCACAGAGTTGTTCTCCTCAAACAGAGGTGTTCACAGGTGAGTCAAACAATACAGTTCATTTTTAGAATTAAATCCACTTCCACTCAGCACTACCAGCTGTACCACACATCTTCAAAATTTAATAAATGCAAACAGCACAAAATGCTTTTGAGTTATAAAGTACATATTCCTAAATCCCTGAAGAAACAGTGTTTGATTTTTACCTATAAATCTTTAGAAAGAGCCGTATTTGTTATATTTACTGAGATGAGAAGACCAACTTAAGTGCTGGGCAAGTAGACCATCTGGTTTCAGTGGTGGTAATAGATTACTCTTTGTGAGTAATATTCCAACACTGCCTGTATCACATCTTTCATTGTTCTGGTTTCTTGTCCAGAACCAGACGGTGGGGGGCGCTTATCGCAGAGTGGGTGGGGCTGTAAAGTGGTATTTTTGGAAAGGTATATATAGATAAGTTGAGCAAATATAAGCAGAGTTCGGCAGGAAGAATAAGAGTTCCCGTTCTGAAGCCAGCAGCAGTCAGCTGTGTTCCAGCTGTTCTCTCAGGTGAGTAAATGCATCACACTGCCTGCACATCAAAGCCTTCAGAGCGAACAGCGATGTGACTGACACGGTGTGTAAACGCAGGTAAACGGAACTTTATTCTGTTTCCGAACTGTCCGCGTGTCTGCTCGCACTGAATCACGCGTGCTGTTTGAAGTCTGAAGGCGGAAGTTGGAAACCGGGAGTTCCATCGTCGGTGTTTCCAGGCTTCTGCGGCTTTAAAGTGGAAATCCGACCCGGAACTCCCGGTTTCCAACTTCCGCCTTCACACTTCAAACAGCGCGCGGCAACGTCCCCGGTCCGCGTGATTCAGTGCGAGCAGACACGCGGACAGACCGGAAACAGAATAAAGTGTGAAGGCGGAAGTTGGAAACCGGGAGTTCCGGGTCGGATTTCCACTTTAAAGCCATAGGCTGTGTCCCAATTAAGAGACTGCACGCTTGAAGTACGAGCACTACGCGTACTACGTACGGTGCGTACTATAAGTTCGAGAAGTTCGGAAGTGAGAGGCTTGTGAAATGGGACGGTATACGCATAGTCGCGCTGTTCAGGTTGCCTAGCAACCATGAAACCGTGAGACACGTTACATACAGCTTTGTGTGACAGAAATGAAGGAGAAAAATGTTTTGTTGGTCATTCATTTTTGTCATGACATCACTTTAGTTGAGTATCTGAGGCTGAGACCACGGGACTATAAAACATGATTGTTGGGCTTCATTTCTGTGCTGAACAGTCATTTAAGATTAGTTAGTAAATAACAATTAGTTAATGTTGTTCATGAGACTAAAGTCAACTCACTGTGGCAATGTAAATATAATATGGCCAATATTATAGTATTGTCAGATTATTTTGATTGATTATATAAAAAAAACACCCAGCACGCCCCTGCGGGCGGTTTATCCTTCAAGCTCGGGTCCTCTACCAGAGGCCTGGGAGCTTGAGGGTCCTGCGCAGTATCTTAGCTGTTCCCAGGACTGCGCTCTTCTGGACAGAGATCTCCGATGTTATTCCC